CATCCCCTTTGGGGGGGGGGACTTTTTGCTTTCTGTCTCTCTGTTTCTCTCTGTCTCATTCATGAGCACACATGCCCTATAGCCAAAATCTCTCTAACTAAAAAAGTATTCCCGTGGGCTACCTGCAGTGTTGCAAAGATAAGCAACACTGTGCAATGCTGGACCCACGTGGGAAGGTCTTAAGTTCATGTCTCAGTCTCCCTGTACATGGTGGACCATAATCCAGGCTGACCAAGGCTGAGGGCAGATCACAGCATGCAGACCCTTTTAGGGGTGCACTGTCTCTCTTTCTTTTTCTACTTCTCTCTCTCTCAACTCTGTCTCAAAAAAATAAACAAATAAATAAGTACACTTTTAAAAGTATGCATGCTCTCATCTACCCAGCCACTAAGATCACAAACCCAGTACTCACCCTTAATTCTTACTTTATCCATTCATTCCAAACAACACTAAGTATTGATTATATTTCCAAGATATTGCTTTAAAAATTATCTTTTTGTTAATCTGCCATCCAGAATGAGTAATGGCCTCTTACTGCTTCTTGTTTCTAAACTGATTCCCTTCATATCCACCCTCCACATTGCTACAAAAGCACTGTACGCAAGCTCTGATCAAACCATAACCCTGCTTAACGTGCTTCCACCTCCTGGGGGAAATTCTACCAAATTATCCTGGCATTCAGAACCCATCACTTTCCATTTTTTTCCCCACTTGTGTAGCTTAAGTCCTCCATACTCCCTTGTATACAATAGACTCCATGAACTCTCTTGTCTACTTCACCTCTTGTACCTCACGCAATGACTAACCCTAAGTAGGCATCCGGTCACTATTTGTTGAATAAATAAATACTACATTCTGATAACAGCCAATTATTTACAGTTGTCCACACACCTTTTCTACCCTCACCACACCACCCATACCCTCTGTATTACATACAGAATGGACTCTTGTTTTTTAACCTTCAAACCCATGTAGACATCATCTCCTCTTGGCAGATATTACTTATATCATTCTTATCTAGGATATATTAGGTATCATTTCCTTCATAGGTATCCTCTACTTCCTTCTCCCTATCTTTTCCATTAGAAAATGAATCCATTATTCCTTTACAATACTTCCTACTTGGGTACTTCTGGTATGACATCTATTACTGCAGTTATAATTTTATGTTTATAAATCTTCCTCTCTTATAATTTCCTTAAGAGTAGTCAGTGGTCTTTCCTCTCTGCAAAATGAAGGCACAGTAACTGTTTCAGTGGAAGTGAACTCACTGCCACTTCGTTTCCCCATCTTAAGGCATAAATTCCTAGCTCCCTACTGTCCAGGCAGTGCAGTGCATGGGTTCTTCAAAGAGTTTGTGGAAAAGGGACCAGCAGTTAGTGTAATGGCTATGTCACTGAACTCCCATGTAGTCGGCCACGATTCAAGTCCTGGACCCAGTGGCTTAAACTCACACCGGGCACATGTGCACGTGTGCCCAACATCCCGAGAGGAGAATGGAGAAGAAGAAGGGATTGCAGTGTGGCCATCCCCCCTGGAGGGTGACTTCTCACTTTCTGTCTCTCTGTCTCTGTCTCTCTGGCAAGCGCACGCACCCTGTAGCTAAAACCTCTCCCCAAAAAAGAAAAAAAGTTTGTGGAAAATATGTATTATGAAAATACTGTGCATAGATTTCAATTGTTTTACACCGAAATAAACTTGTACTTTAATTCTATTTTTCCGACAAACATTTAAAAGTCCTCTTACACGCAGGAAAGAGTCAGAAATGGGTTCAAGTTCTACTGCGTAATCAATTGATAAATCTTAAACTAATTAGTTACTCTCTACTCAGTCTCCTTACCTGCATAATGCAGATCATAATAGTTACATCGTTAAGTTTTAAAATAGTTAAATGAAATAATATTGTAAAGTATCTAGCAGAGTGTTCAGTGGATCTGACTTACTTCACTTTACCTGAAAGAAAAGTAAGAGGAGAGGTGAGAGAGAGAGAGGATGCAAGTGTGCATGTGCATCTACATGTATGCACGTGTATATGGCATGTGTGTGTATGTGTTGGAGGGTTTAATTTAGTTTGGGGCAGGGTAAGATTGAGGTGATTGTCAACTTAGATTATTTTCAACAATTACATTTTATTAGCTTTGCACAGTGGCAGTATCATAGCCAATGAGGTTTATCCGAGGCACGATTATTGCTAATTGAAAACAATTACATTTTAGTGTGAGAAAAATCATTATCTTTGACAAAAAAGAAAAATTTCTGATTTTGCAATCAACCGTTTCAATCATACAGTGGTCTAATTTCTACACAATCATGAGGAAAATTCACTAACAAAATAAGAATTTAACAAAGTAAACTTTTGGTCAACTCTAATTTGAACAGTCCAAGAGTTATAAAATATTGCTGCAATTCAATTAAAACTACGAGTATCACTCACTTTTATTCACAGATAAAACTGTTCTAGGACTTAACTCATTTTACATCACGACTCCAAGAATTACAGTAAATGGATATGAATGCCAGATATAGTGTGTGTGAAAGAGGAGGGTCTGAGGAAGGACATTTAGAAGAAAAACAGAAGGGCAAAGCATTAATAGGACAAAGAAATGTGGTATTATCTGTTGAAGATATTTTACAGTTTTATCAACTGGACTATGGAAAAATGTTCACATGTTGAAATATTCACTTTGTAAGCTAAAAAATGTGAAGGAATGTATAAAAGAAAATGAAATTTAAAATATTTTTTAAAAAATATCTACAGTATCAGAGGTCTTGAATTCACAGCAATAAGCTAGTTACTGATAAAAATTTTTCATCTGAATATTGGTAAATTCCATTGTTCCTAGGTTCTTCTGTATAGAGTGCTAATAACTTTCT